TAAGTAAACACGATTTATTTCATATCATAAAATAATTCCTAATTTGAAATTGACGGGCCTTTATCTTCCAACTATTTTTTTTTGAGAATTGTTTAAAACACTGTCATTAATTAATAATCTTAAGCACAAAAATACTTAATTTTCAGGTAAAAAAATCGCATTATGATTTATTGACCTTGAAAACCGAGTTTTTGAAGGTAGACTTTGTAATTTACGTGTGCAAAAAAATATAATACAGTTTTAATATACGGTAACTGACATCTTTGTATATCGAGTTGATATTTTGTTGATACACCTATGTAAGTACCTAATTCAAGTATTTTTCAATATTATTAATTATACGATATTTATTTCATTCATTAAAAGTATTTTCAATATTTATGTAAATGATGATAACGGAATTTTAATGCAGCAACAATATTTGTATTAAAACTTTCATTCACAGCCTATAAATGCCCACTGCTGAGCAAAACCTCTTTTCACACGGAGAAGGTTTGAGCATTAATCACCACGCTTGCTTAATGCGGGTTGGCGATTATAACTTTAGTGAGACAAATTAAATAAATTATTATGTTTTCGGCTTACTTACGTAATTATTTGACAAGGAACTCGACTAGTTTCAGTTCAGTTTCAGTTAGCAGCAACAACAAATGATTTTAATTTTTAATAATACATATAAAAAATATTTTTGTTAGTATATTTTGTAAACAAGAAAACCAATGCGGTTTTTGTTTTTGTTAGGGTACGACCTGATATCCATTTGTCACCTGATGGTGACACTGGTTTGCTAGATAAACGGTAAAATATACATATTTTTAACGAATTTTATAGCCTTTAGATATCCTTCAAGTAGGTACTACACAACAATGAGTGTGGGAGAGCCATGCTTCAGCACGAATGGGCCAGCTCGACCGGAGTGATACCACAGCCTCACAGAAAACCGACGTGAAGCAACGTTGCGTTGCGTTGTGTTTCGTCGTGTGAGTGAGGTTACCGGAGGCCCAACTAACCTCCCTTTCCCTAATCACCCTAATTCCTGAATCCTCAACGATCCTCAAACTCCTAATCCCCAAAAGACCGGTAATGCACTAGTAACGCCTCTGGTGTTCCAGGTGTCCATGGGCGACACCGATTGCTTACCATCAGGTGATTCGTCTACTCCTTTACCAGATTATGCCATAAAAAAAACATGGAAGCATTTTATAATTTGTTCATCAATAAAAAATCAAACAATCAAATCGCTGAATTTTGAAATATTAGTAGTGATGAGATAATTAAACAAAACGTAATAAATTTAGAGCGATACTCATAATTTTAGTAACAATCAAGGCTAATAATTCTGTAGTCTAAAATACATTACAAACAACAATTTTCTAGAACAAAACTTCAAGGAAGAACAAGTTCAACTTGTTTCGGAAGACATTGTGGTTTCATAATTGGTCGATCTATTAATAAACAAACATGTTTTTAATAACTTTTAACATAACATAAACAATCATTTGATTAAAAAATAAATAAGTTTTTATGTAATTGAATACATACGTCAATACATATTACAAACATTGATTGGGGAAAAATTTACTGCACGGTTGCCGTGCAATGTGTCGTGGGTTCGATTCCCGCACGCAACAACACTTTGTGTGATCCACAAATTGTTGTTTCGGATCTGGGTGTCATGTGTATGTGAACTTGTATGTTTGTAAACGCACCCACGACACAGGAGATAATCCTAGTTTGGGGCAACGTTTTTCATTAAAAAATAAGTAAATAAATTCTGTTGATTCATAAGTTTAATACTTACATTTATATTGTATATTCGCACCGCATCGCTATTTAATTTGATTACAATAAAAAGTTGTGACAAATAGAGATTTAGACAGTATTATTTTTATAGGTGAGTATAACAATGATCTGCGAGTATACAAGAAGTTTTGATGCTGTGTGTACCTTTATAATCTACCTAGGTAAGTAAAAAATAGATAGATAGTAAAATGTTAAGCGCATATCTCACACATTTCACTAAAGCATTACTTTTTTATGGGATAAGCCAGTAAACAAGCAGACGGATCACCTGATGGTAAGCAACAGGCGTTGCGCCGTCGCCGTGGGCACCTGGAACACAAGAGGCATCACAGGTCCCACCTTTTGGGGATACCTAAGCAATTTAAGGGTTTTTTGTGATTCATGAAATAAGGAGATTGGAGCCTTCAGTAACCTCACTCACACGACGAAACACAACGCAAGCGCTGTTTATGTCGGTTTTTTGTAAGGCCATGGTATTACTCTCGATGAGCCGACCCATTTGTGACGAAAAATAGCTGTCACAGTAAAAATATTTTATGATCGGAAAAGAAACAATAATTTAAGGAAATTCGAATAACTGATAGATGCAGTTTTTAGACTAATGAATAATGAACAACAATTTTTTCAGTATTAAACATTATGACTAATTTAATAATTATGTTTATTTTTTTAACATTTATAACATTTACAGTATGCAAATTTAAGTATTAAGCAAAGATAAGTATCAAATATATTATTTTGTTACAACAAAGGATAATTAAATACTAACACAGGAAATGCATTTGGGGTAATTAACATCAGAAATTACAAAATAATATCAAGTAGGTAGTTTTAGTGCACCAAACATATGTAATTGTAATTGTAAGAGGCCTCGGGTTCGAGTCGGGCAAAGTCTGGGTTTAAAAAAAATCGCAGTAGTAGCACGGAGTTTGGCATTGTGCTCGGTATATGGCAATAGGTTCACCCCCTATTACATGTGGTGAAAACATAAATAGTGAAAAGTGGGTGTTACATTGTACAGTGGCATTAAGTGCCGTAATGTGCACCTCTGCCTATGTTATGTAAAGAAATATTTTGTCAAGTATCATTTTTTTTAAGGGGGGGAAATCATTTATTCACTGCTCCTACCTGGGTGAGGCGCGAAGGAGTGTCAGACTCTTACTGACTAAAAACCACCCTGTTCCTTCTCCTGCACTTCCAGCTGAAGCCCCGGTAATCCGTTAGGTTCTCCGCGACTCCGAATCGGCATCAGCCCTATTGGGCCCCGTGGTGGCGTGGTGGTCTGATAGCTCTTTGAGGTGCGCTGGTCAAGTATCATTATGGTAGGTATATTTAGGCACAAAACATGTCACTTACCGCTAAGTTATCTCATTATATGAACAATGTGACAAAATCTCCCATTATTACACTTCGATTACATTGGATATGTTGTCATAAACACATGGCAACATGTCAATACAATATGTCCTTTATATTTCTATTACTTATTGCCAGTTATTGCTAAGGAATTAAATAATAAAGAGAACTGAATTCAATGGAACTACATAGTTTCTGTACTGATTTTTCTTCATGAAAAATGTGAAACGTAATTAATCAAGCGTCTAAATATGGGTTTCGATATTACCTCTATAATATCGGTAGGACTCTATGATAACGGAACCACCTAAGAGACTACGGAACAAAAACAAGGAAAATTGGACGATGACAGGGCATGAAAATTAAAGATGCGAAAAGGCAAAAAAAAATGAGAAAATTAAAGATTAGTCCGTAAGTTAGGTAATGAAAAAATATTAGACACGTATTGTTAATTGGACCTCCTGTAACCTCACTCACACGACGAAACACAACTAAAGCGTTGTTTCACGTCGGTTTTCTGTGAGGCCGTGGTATCACTCCGGTTTAGCCAGCCAATTAATGCGACGCATGGCTTCCACACTTAGAACATAATAATAGAACGTAAAAAACCTTTTTTTTGAAGTCTTTTCAATATAGTTAATCTTGATTTTATAAACACTTGCACGTGTTAAGCATGATGACGCTAACAAGAGTAACTTCTCTTATACAATAGAAAAGTTTACTAAACATTGACATTTTTTTATGTTAGTCACTGGTACATTAATCAAAAATAAGTATTTTTCTTACACATAATTATGTTATGGGAAACTATAGTTTCTGCCATTGGCTTTGGCCGCGTTCTCGTAAGATAAAAATATGTATAATTTTATAATATAATCTACTCCTATTATTTATTTTATGGAATAGGAGGCAAACGAGCAGACGGATCACCTGATGGTAAGCGATCAGCGCCGCTCATAGACACCCGCTACACCGGAGGAGTAGGAGGAGTAACAGGTGCGTTGCCGGCCTTTTAAAAAACAATACGCTATTTTCTTGAAGGTTTGAAGGTTCGTATCGGTTCGGAAATACCGCCGATGACAGATCATTACACAATTTTGCTGTTTTTTGTCCTTTTTATCTCGATCCGACAGCCGGACAGCTATTTCGACCTGAAAGAATAACAAAGAAAAATACCAAGTTTCGCATTTATAATATTAGTTAGAGAACTTTAAACAAAGAGGTAATTTTTACTGTTAACATCATTTCTAATATTTATTCAATTCAACTGTCGAACTAGGTATTTAAATACTTGCCTTTCTTAATCTGGCATATACCCTAATACTTACATTTATTTTTTATCTGATAGCAATATTAATTACCTAATTTTATGAAGTTTATTTATTGGTGCTGGTCAATACATTTTCGATAATTTTCTTTAAATAAAACTAGTAGGATTGTAGATACAACGCGTAATAATATCTTGCCGCACACGCATACTCTATACATTTCACAGCTCCAGCGCGCTGCAGTAGTAAATTAAATGACCGCACTCCCTTTGATTTTAAATTCTAGGTATTTAGGCTATAGGTATATTAGTAAGTTCTGTATACACGTGTAGGTAACGTCGAACATCCGTAAAGGTTTTATAGTTTTTGTCATATCTAGTCGCTAATGAAGACGATGAAGTAATTGCGATAATTTACCGCACAGGTTCGTCTCGGACCGGTCGTTCGCTCACAATGTCGGCAGTTGAAGGTCTCTATAATCTTTCCGTTTAGTCGATATATAGCTGTTAAACTTGCGGCCGACGATACAGTAGTACAACTGCCTTTAATTGTTGAACATTGTGTAAACTCAAAATGAGTTGGCAAGTGCCTATTGTTAGTGTTTTGTTATGTTATCTTATATGTTTTTGCTCTCATGGATATGCTAAATTGGCGCGTAAGTTGACGTTGCGTTCTTTTTTAAAATTTATTTTGTTCTTTTTTCTAGTGACATTAATTTTCTTTTATGCATCGATAACAATGAGGTTTTCTTTTACTTTTTTAATAATATTTTTGTTTTTTCTCAAATGGTAGTTTACGTGAGGTGTTTTAAAAATATTAAGTTCGTTATCTTAATTGACGTTTTACAATATTTTTACTACCTATTGAAAATTTTCGTAGTTCATGGAACCTTAGATTTTTGTTCGGAAACAAGAATATTTACAAAACGTAATCAAAACGTAAATATTACCTACAGTGTTAACTGGGTTTATTTATTAACTAAACTGTTAAGTAATTTTAAAACTATGTCTGACTTAATATGAACTTCAGAAGGCCAGTTAAATTAAAACTAACATACCTGAAATGACTAAATGACTAAAAAAACAAAAGATTGGAGCTTCCTGGCTTAGTAATACTACTTAGAGCCAATTTTTCCAACGCCGGATAAATTTTCACTGTGGAATAAATTTGAATATTTCCTTATATACCTACATATTTGACAATACTAAAACTGTGAAATGTCAATTTTATTCTACAGTTCAGAATTAAATGATAATTGAAAAATTGGCACTTAAAATAAACTCAGTAACAAATATAGAACACAACTCTATTATAAATTGTTTTATGAGGGTCAAACTTAGAAGGCATTTCCTGAACATAACTCAAAAGGAATGCTGAAATATATTACAGTCTTGTTTATTTTGGTGTTCTTTGCCAAGTTCTTTGGCATGCAGTCGATATTTTGTAGCTGTTGCTATGTCACTAGAAATAGATAGTGGTATAAAAGAAAAACATTACTTATATATATTTATGTACTGCCTTGTTCAGGGTACTTATGGTTTATGAATATAAAGGAATTGGGCTGCCGCGTAACGTGTAGCGGGTTCGATTCCAGGAGCAGTTCTTTGTGTGATCCACCAGTTGTTGTTTCGGATCTGGGTGTCATTATCTATGTGAACTTGTATGTTTGTAAACGCACCCACGATACAGGAAAAAGCCTAGTGTGAAGATACGTATTTTTAAAGAAAATATAAAGAAATGTGGTTGATCCATGTTTAGTTTAGAAATGTATATAGTTAGTAAAATTTGTATATAGTTTGTAAATCTCTTGGTCTCATAATTCAAAAGAAACAATACGTAAATAAATAATAGTACCTATGCATAAAGAAAGAAAGAAAAAACATGTATTATTACTTATCAACATAAACCCTATTTAAAAATTGCCAGGAAGACATTATCAATGAGACTTTAGAGATATTTTTACAGACTTATATAGAATTGTAGATATTTTTAAAACGTAACGCACAATAAACGTAAATTCTACTTTACTGTAATTGAGAAAACTTAACACAGTAATTATTATTATTATTATTCGCTTACCATCAGGTGATCCGTTTGCTCGTTTGCCTCCTATTCCATAAAAAAAGTAATAATGCTTGCAATTTTAAATAGCTGCGTCCATGTTTATCTTGACCCCTATCAAATCACTGTTAAACAAAGAAAATAATAACACGATTCTTTAATTACAAATTGAATGTAAGGTTACATCTAACATCAGTTGCATTAGTAGAACCTCAAGGTTATTTTTTTAAATTTTAATTACCATTATATGAATTAACACTTAAAATATGAATTGGAAAGAGATTGTCGAAATTCCGTTCGGTTTTGATTACCATAATACTGATTACTGTAATTATAACATTACTTATTAGATAATTATTTTCAATGGAATGGTGCGTGGGTTTAGTGGTATCTGGTAATAGCAATATATTGGACAGAACTTGTTTTTTTTTAAATTAGATGTCATTGACCCATACTGTGATTTTATTCTTGCTATATGAGTGTGGTGTGTGTCGCAGTGGGCCGGAGGTTTAAGACGCCCACTTCTCATGCATGAGGGTACGGGTTCGAAACCTACCAACGGCAAGTACCAATGTGACGTTTTCCGAGTACCTAATATGTACTTTCTAATATTATTCAGGCACCACCGACAAACGGTGAAAGAAAACATCGTGAGAAAACCTAGGCTTATAAATTTCTAATTATAAGTTTGAAATCACCAACCCGCATTGAGCAAGCGTGGTGATTAATGTTCAAACCTTCTCCATGTGAGAAGAGGCTTTGTTCAGCAGTGGGCATTTATAGGCTGTTGATGATTTGAGTGTGGTGCAAAGCGTTGGTTTTGTTTATGCCAATATTTTCGACATCAATCGATCAAACATTTCGCGTACGTCATTGTAAAACAGACTTTTTTTAAAGAGGAATGAATGGAGTTTCTTGCTCTTTCTTCTCCATTCGAATCTACATTTTGGAATGAGCACCTAGCTTCACTGACGGACGGACTGACAGACTATTATTTATTTTGTATTCGTAGATGTTTGAAAAGTACCAAATTATGGTTTAATTGAAATTAATGCTTTGAATTTGACTTAAATAACAGCCTTAATGTAAATCTGTTTTGTCATTAAAAGGTATCTTAAACAGCAGCATAAGAAATATTAACAATTAAGTGATAACAAATTATTTTCTTAATTAAAAATATGGATTGAATTGTTTAATTGGTTACTTATCAAATCGGATACTTAATGTATTCCAACATCAAATGTAATGTGTGGGAGAGCCATGCTTCGGCACGAATGGACCGGCTCGACCGGAATGATACCACAGCCTCACAGAAAACCGACGTGAAACAACGCTTGCGTTGTGTTTCGTCGTGTGAGTGAGGTTACCAGAGGCCCAATTACCCCCCTCCCTAGTTTCCGTCTCCCGAATCCCCGAATCGTCCACAATCCTCAAATTCCCAATTCCCAAAAGGCCGGTAAAGCACTTGTAACGCCATGGTGTTTCGATTGTCCATGGGCGGCGCCGATTGCTTACCATCAGGTGATCCGTGTGCTCCTTTACGGGCCTATGCTATAAAAAAATTCAAATCTCACTTTTAGATTTTTGAACTGATGAAAATACTTTTCGTGTAAAAGAACTTCTTCAACTTTTGGTTATCAGAGAGGCTGTATTACATTGGTAGGAACATTGTTTCCAGATTTGGCAACATAGACAACACTTTATGAGTCTCGTTCAACAGTTTCTAAATTGTGTGGTGTACTTGTAAACGATGAATACACACAGAGAAAAGAAACGAAGTATATAAAATACTAGCTACTTCCACGCGGTTTCACTCGTTCTGCTCGGCGCCTACTTATTAATCGTAGCATGATGTTTTATAGCGTATAGCCTTTCTCGATAAACGGGCTATCCAACACAGAAAGAATTTTTTAAATCGGACCAGTAGTTTCGGAGATTAGCGCGTTCAAACAAACAAACAAAAAAACAAACTCTTCAGCTTTCTAGTATTATATACCTATAGTATAGATTAAATTCAACAGTGATATACTTAGGACCATTCACTTTGTATTTTGGTAAACATGCCATAAAAGACATAATTGAATCACACAAAATTTAAGCAACAATCACAAACCAAATTGTCTCTCAAGACAAAACTAAACTAGTTTTCCGAAAAGCCTTGACTTTGCCCTTCACGCTGGCCGACCAAATAATGCTGGTTACTTAATAACACCAAAACATACATTTACTTAATCATGAAGGAAACAAATGTGTGAAATACCATTAAGTATACGAACCGTTAGCATTATTTTGTTTTCCGGCTAAAGTCATCATATTTACCCTTTGAGTACCGTCATTATAGACACAATTAAAGAACAATAGGTTGCGGTCACCGGTGTCCTCGCGGTTTTTGACAGTTTAACCACAAAACATCTATTATTGAACATGTCAAATGTTAATACTGATATAACATTAAAAATAAAGTAAATAGTGTCTTTTATAAAGGTGGCCTCGGTACGAACGACTGGCCGAGTGGTTGCAAGTGCGACTGCCGGGCTAGGGGTCTCGGGTTCGATTCCCGGGTCGGGCAAATTATAACTGGGTTTTTTTTTCAAAAAATCTCAGTAGTAGCTCGGAGTCTGGAATTAATTACCGCACACCGACTACCCCTCATGAGATAAAAGGCGCGATGTTATGTTATGTTTTTAATGGTATAGAGGGCTTGGTATGACTTTGTTTTATGTTCGAAACATATATTCCTGAACAAGTGAAATAATTAATACTGACATAGCGTAAAGAGTGTCTTATTTTTGAAGGTACTGAGGGCCCAGTATAACTTTGTTTTAAGTAATCGAAACGAGTATGCATTCGGTGCACTGATCTGTTGGTTCGTTGAAGTCGGCCAATCAGTGTGAAGAACGTGTACTCATTACGATTACGAACTCGTTCTAAGGCTTCTGTTATACATGGTCTAAAATAGCATGCTAAAAGGTGTGCTATTGAGCATGCATCAAAAATATTTAAAAATCGAACGCCTGTCAATTGGCAAACACGATTGAAATGAACATTCTAATTTTAAGCAACATTCTGACACATAGGTACCTATGCTATCAAGTAACAAGAGCTCAATTAACTTATGATTTTTATTTAAAGACCCGGTAATACTTTGCCCGGCCCACCTTACCCGGCAGTCGCATTTGCCAATGAGGCTGATCATATTGAGTGGAGTACTTTTTTTTTTTTGATAATGGGGGGAAACCTTTAAAAGGCGCCCAGCCTTTTTGGGGGATAAAAGACTAGGGAGTGTGGGATTTTTACCGCACTAAAACTACCCCGGTAGCCCTCAACACCTGAATGGAGGCACCGGGTCCTCTAAAAGAGACCTGCTCCGGCGCCTCCACGGTGCAACGCCTGTTACGACACATCCCTAGGGAGACGGGTGTCTCCTTTAAGCCTTGCTGTCTACGGCGGCACACTGAATCAATATCATCTACGTACCTAAACAAATATTTACTAGATACTTCTATTAGTTGCGACGTTTGTAAGACTATAACCTTTAGTAACTTGTAACAGAAACTGTCTGCGAAGTTAGATTATGAAATTAAATACAATATGGTACTTACTTATACCTAAATGAATCGAATTCCGAATCCATTGTGGAAAATTGTCATGGAACTACTTTGATAGCGAAAGGCGAAACAAACTGTTTGACTCATATTAAGCAGTGTAATAATAATTCTTATGTAATGTTGTCATATATTATATTTTTTTAATTAGGTTTTACAAAGTTGTAAACGATGATCAGTCTCATTTGGCTAGTATTTTGGGAATGGAGGCCTAATAACATACCTAGATATAACATCACGCCTTTTATCCCCGAAGGGGTAGGCAGAGGTGCACATTTACGGCAATTAATGCCATTGTACAATGTAACACCCACTTTTCACTATTTATGTTATGAGTCCCATGTAATAAAGGGTCGGCCTATTGCCATATACTGGGTACAATTCTAAACTCCGTGCTACTACTGAGAATTTAAAAAAAAAACCCGTTAATATGGTGGCCGACCCGGGAATCGAGCCCGAGACCCCTTGTCTTGCCCGGCAGTCGCACTTGCGACATAAATATATATTTTAATAATATATTTTTTGTAAATCTTTTTATAACAATATTGACAAAAAAGAAATGGTCGGTACATGTTACTTTGAATCACTAAATACTTATTTATATGCACAGAGGTTTTTGAATAAAAACTAAAGTAAATACAAAGAGTACCTAAGTAGGTAATCTCCGTTTATATTATTAGGTACATACATTGGCCAGTAATTTTTGGCAAAACAATATAAACATTCATCCATATCCAATATTATAATAATTATAATTATAACAACCAACCAATTAAATCTAAATATTTGGATTTAATATATAATTTACTTAATCAACACAAATACGCAATTACCTGTTTAATTTCAAGTACTAAACGTATTAAGGGTTCATAAAATTAATCCCTATATAAATATATTTGTTTTTTATTAATAGGAACTTCATGGATGCTATCACATTTAATTAGAATTAAACTACTAAAGTCATAATATTCTTACAAATAGGTACTCTATTTCATTATATTTTATCCGTTTTTGTTCACTGCATCCTACAGCAGGATGATAGTCGTAACTATCTTGATCAAACCATTTTAAAAAATATATTTTTAATTGTACAACAAAAAATGTACGTAGATACATAAATGTTAAATAATGCAATTCAAAAAGTTATATTCATGAGCCTCGAGCGATGCAAAATAAATGTTTTCTTCAAAAACTTTTAGTTATATAAATAACTATATCATAAAATGCGAAAAAAAGTATTATAAAAGTATTTTATTGTTGTTTGTTAACATTTTATTCATTCTAAAAGACAATGTCAAGATGTCCAATTTCACCAATCCCTGAATCTTTAACGGTCCTTAAATTCCTAATCCCCAAAAGGCCACGACGCACTTGTGGCGCCTCTGGTGTTCTGGTGTCCATGGGCGACGCCGACTGGTTATCATCGAGTGTTCCATCCGTCTGTCTTATCTCATAAAAAAATGTTCCTAAAGTATTTTTGCATTGTATCAAAGTTTTTAATAAAATTATGTATTTTATAAATCGGCTTTTGTTGTGCGTCATCATAATTTTAGGTAAACTATTAGCATATTTAACACCTGACCCAAAACCAGTTATGGACGCAGAAATAACCACACTATTATTTATGTTTTGTCTACAAAGTTTTATAAATAATATAATAGTACCTATGACTTTTATAAAAATCTTTGCTAACCGTTATTATAATATTATTTAGTTCGTAGATGAAGTTAACGTTTCCTGTGATTAAGTTTAGCAGGGAGGTACGATTCTCCTCTAATTTATGATGTTGTTCGTAGATGCATCACGAGCAATAAGCTGGTTTCTAAGTAGCACGTAATCAAGTTGCTGCTACAAAAATCTTGGTATCGGTGATTTTGTTCGTGGATGCATTTACGAATAACAAACATTTCCTACTACTTAATTAATTACTAAAGTATACTAACATAGATATAAGTTATTTCTACTAACCACCTACGGATGCTTCTGGTCCGAAATAAATTTATTTTTATTTTATTATTTATTAACAAAAATCGTAATTAAACTACTTAGTAACATAAGTAGTTAGTAGCTATAAACTCATGTTAACCCATTAGGTACTTGAATCTAATTTTACGTTTAATACAAATAGCCAAAAGTTCACTGACTTCAAACACTACTACACCAATAAAGAAAAACTATATATTACGCCACGACGTACACGTAGACAAAAATACAGATACACACAAAAAACCCATGGTGCAGTCGCAGCGCAAAAGGCCGGAGCTCGGCTTAATACTGTAGCCCGGGCACACCATGTTCTAATGAACACAGATCAAGAAATAATTAATCCTAGTTTCATAGTGGATCAGTTCATTAGTGTGTTGGTACATTCTTAAACTTCCTCATTGAAGGCAAACGTAAAAGTTGAAAGAAAGAATATCTACTTACAAAAAATTAAAAATAATATTATTTTTAATATTTCATTCTAACACACAGACCTCCTGAGGCCTATGTTCAGCAGTGGACGTTATTTCATTACATTCCTATGGCTGATATGATGATTCTAAAGCAATAAATACATGCTGATTAAAAAATCCTACTTTGTTTTAGCCGACTACATTCACCCTTGCAATGAGACATCACGAGAATGCCTAGTAAAATCGACGCAAGAGGCGATTCCCGATTTCGTCAAAGGCATTCCAGAACTTGGAGTACCAGTTCTAGATCCATTCACCATTGAGAAACTCTCCATCCCATTGAGCGGTTTGACCTTCACCTTCTATGAAGGCAAAGTGTCTGGCTTCAGAAAATGCATTGTGGACGATGTTATGTGAGTATTAAAATATTTATTGCTATATTTTCGTGGGTTATTTTTAATCGAGTCTCGTTGAAGAATTTTTTATTTATACAACCTACTTACAACAAATCACATATTTATGAAAAATTATGCTAGAGTAAAATATTATCTACTTCGGTGCATCAGTTTGGGAGTTATGCTAGCACACACATTTCAAAGTACCAATTATTACCATTTTTAATTGGTGTGGTGTTCCAATTACATATATGTATATAAATACATAACCTAACGTCTGTCTCCCATAGGGGGTAGGCAGAAAATATAAAACTGTTTTATCACATTTTTTAATTCAAAATCTAGATATTTCTAGAAATTAATTACATAACAAAATAAATAACATAACAATATTATGTAAGATAATAATTTTCTTGATACAGAATCATAAGGAAAATACAGCAAATGACAGTAATCTTTTCTTCATGGCCTTTAAAACTAGTTTAGAACATATTTTTAATAGGAAAATTATGCCTAATTACTGGGAATATAAAAATAAATATCAATATTTCACGGCTAACATGTTACATAACTATTTTACCTTATAAAGCACCTTATAAAATTTTGTATAGGTATAAAAACTAGTATCTGACATCGGCTTCGCCCCCCTGTTCCAAATTTAATGCCGATCCCTTCTGTCGGTTTCATGTGAAAGAGAAACTAACGAACGAATTTCCGCATTTATTATATTAGTAGGATGACTACTAGGTACTTGTAGGGTCGTCACGTATGCAATAATCTATTGAATTATTTTTATTACATTCCTATCCGCGGAGAACTTAACGGGGTTACTGTGGATCCGGCTCGAAGTGCAGGAGTAGGAACAGGGTGGTTTGTAGTCAATAAGAGTGTGACACTCCCTCCCGCCTGACCCAGGCGGGGGAAGTCATTCGATGATTTTCACCCCTTAAAAAAATCCACCAACAAAAAAGATACACTCGACAAAAGTACACTCATTCTGTTATTGTCATGTCACTAATTTCATCAATAAAGAAGTGTTTTTGGCAAACACAACTCTAACAACACTCTAGACTTAACCTTCTTTCTTTTTGAGGACCTCGCCTTTGCTCAGCAATGGTCATTTTAGGCTGATGATGATAATAAAAATCTATAGCCATTAGAGTAATCATTTCAGTCATTAAAGCGAAGACCTTTTACTATAATCACGTGTCCATGATTATTTTTTAAATTATATAAAAACTTATCTATTTTATTGTTCCTAATTTTAGAACAATGTGACCTTCAAATAGCTTGCGGTCACTAATTCAGAATTAATATCAGAACTCGTTAAAGAAACGCACACGAAACAAAACGTGTGTCTAAAATTATAGCTGTAATTATTTAAACATTAATGAAAGAGGTAAAGGTCATAATTCAACAGAAGAAAGATAAGAACGAAGTGGGAAAGCCATGCTTCGGCACGAATGGGCAGGCTCGACCGGAGTTACACCACGTCCTCACAGAAAACCGACGTGAAACAACGCTTGCGTTGTTTTTCGTTGTATGAATGAGGTTACCGGAGTTCCAATCAGCCCCTCCCCAATCCCCGAATTCTCTAATTCCCAAAAGGCCGATAACACACTTGTAACGCCTCTGATGTTTCGGATGTCCATGGGCGGCGCCGATTGCTTATCTTCAGGTGATCCGCCTGCCAGTTTATCGACTTATTTCATAAAAAAAACATTTCAGATTTGTTCAGCGGATGCCTTTAAGCCTCTGACCACTTTCGATCACAGCAACCACTTAATTTCCGTAAAGATAAAACTTTCATAGTTTGCCAGCATAATATGACTATCCCATTTTGATCCTTCTCCTAATATACATATTTATGATGTGAAAATTGGAAACAAAGTATGGATAAATATGGTGTAATTTAATACGAAGATTGATTATGGTCAGGAATCATACAGAGTAGGTACTACACGCATGACAAAGGCAAAAGCTGGTCATCTCTATGATATATTTATGCACTATTATAATAGAAAATATTCAAACAATAAGACTGTTGTTGTACAAATGTGATTCGGAAACATTTAAAGTCTTCAATAGTTATTGTTTTCCAAATGTGTGATCTGGAGTGTTACTTTTATGGGTTACATTTGACTCCCGTCAATAGCACGTCTGTCTCATGTAAAAGGTAATGGCTGCACATACAGCTGTACAAAACCAGGATATCATGGTCTCATTTTCTATGTTCTTTCCATATATTAAAAGGACAGTTTATACTGGTTAATTATTATAGCTTGATATGCAGCCAGGAGTACAGGTCAGTCTGTATCTACTTTCAGATAGTAATGGTCTTGATGTGATGATGTCATTTAGACGTCATACGACATGGCAACTAAATCAAAATTAACATTCAATGAAATAAAAATGCCTGTGGGAAATTATAATGTGAGAAAAAAATAAAGAATCGTTTTCTTACTAAGCGATGAGTTAAAATTACAGTATCAATATTTTTTTCCTATTTAATAGCCTGTATAGTTAAGACAAACAATTATTTTAGCGAATTATGTTATGAAAAAAAAATAATGCAATAGAATAAAATTAAAATAGACCTAGGAACTGATATAGAAGATAACGACGGCGTCTTAAAACATTATTTATACATACCTAGATGTTATTCATAACAAATATATACTTAGTATAAATTTTATATTGTTATCTAAGCATATTAATGACACAAACTAAATAACACATTAAATAAAAATAATAATTAAAAAGTTTATAATACCTAATTTAAATTAATTTTATTAAGTTTATTTATAAACACGTCCAATAAACAAAATTTCTAGAACAAACATTATGTATGTATTAATCATACAAAAACCATTTTCGTACATAATAATTATGTATAATGTTTTTAAGTATGTCCTTCCGTTTCTGGTGATTGTGTTATTGACAAATAAGTCACAAATAATAAGGAAGTTTGATTGTTTTGTTTGGTAATTTATTGTAAAACTAGAGGTAGGTACACACGGCCACACATCAATCTATACAAAACCAGTTTATCCTGGTATCGCGTCGCATCATCTTTCCGCACATTTAACGTTCAGTTTATACTGGTTATGTAAAGCTCGATGTGTAGCTGTGTGTACAAAGAAATAATGTTCAAAAAAACCTTAGAAAGATGGATAAAGATAAAAGAACTTTTACTCACTACCGAAACTATGGTGATAATTTAGTACAAGATACATAATATTTTTCCCATATAATAATAATTCCCAATAGGCTCACCCCCTAATACATGGGACTCATAACATAAATAGTGAAAAGTGGGTGTTATATTTTACAGTGGCATTAAGCGCCGAAATGTGCACCTTTGCCTACCTCTTCGGGGGTAAAAGTCGTGATTTTATGTTATTACATTTTATTTTCCTTATATATTCTGGCTACTTATAATATTGTTAAAAATATAATAATTAAAGGAAATTTATTACATAGGTAATTAAAATCAGGAACACAAAAACATTGGTACTTACTTAAATTAAAAAAAACTTGAATACTAATTTAGTTCTTTGTGTAAAACCTCTCGGGCGTACCTAATTTAATGTTTGATCATAATATTACCATGCACTGTTTAATGCTTTGCTTGCCATGTTTTTTTTGTGTTTTTACGATATCTTATCTGATATAGTTTTTTTGTTAGAGGTAGGTACAAAAACCAGTAGATTTTTAGAACTATAAAGGCAATTAGCGACTGCGCACGTTACTCATGAGGAAGACTCCCTTTGGGACTAGAAACTAGTAAAGATTTTCTCAGTATATTTACGTGACGAGTTAGTCATTTTTAGTTAAGCCAAATAGTATTTAATTTGACCTCTGTACTATACCTAACACTAAAGATGCCTTATATGAATTGGATAGGATTCGATCTTTTTCGTAAGTTAGCAAAACTGTAATATCTAGTTATGTTATAACACTGAAAATAATACCAGTCTCCGAATTATTACTCTTAAAAATTTTAGTTTTATGCCATCAAGGCATCAGACTAGTCTCCTTTGTTTTCTAATCATACATACGTTCCAATTGAATATCTCACCGTGAAATTCACTAATGACCATAACAAACATAAACAAGGAAATATAAACAAACGACCACGCTTTATAAAAGGTACCTTAACATTATTTTTTACGTCTAAAAACTTCATCTCTTAAAGTGTTAATGACAAACAAAGAATTTAAACTTCGCAAACAAACTTCAATGGCTGACCTTATAAAGGTCGGCATTTTGATGGGGCACGATGCCAAAGTATTTAATGTTCGTGATGGCATCATTGCTTTTTGTAATTATAGGAAGCTCAATCTCTGAAATATATAAAAACACTAAATGATGAATTGTTTGTATTAGCAAATAAATATATCGAAATAACGTTTTCATCTACGACCTTATTTCGGATAATTGTCTCCTCTGGTGTTGCGGTGGTGATGATTGCTTACCACCAGGTGATCCGTCTACTCGTTTGCCTCTATTCCATAAAAAAATTGCATCTCAAAAATATTGTTTACTTCTTTTACAGATCGGATCTCGAAAAGCGGCACTTCGTTCTGGCATTCCACTGCAACTTGACTATTAAGGGTACTTATGATGCCAATGGAAAAATCCTTCTATTCCCTATTGACGGTGCGGGCAATGCCAAAATTAAGCTGAGTAAGTAACAATTTGATAAATAATTCAACACTGTATAATGATTTCAACTTTTCTTTATCTCGCTTTCTGCATTTTCAAATATCGGAGATATGTTATAATAATGTTATAATATGTTTGCGGAGATTAACAAATTATTATGTAAACTGTTGTCTTAGTATACAGCGGGGAGAATATCAAAATCTTCATCTTATGCATTTTTAAGTGTTTATTGTGATAGCACGGGGGAGCTTTGTTTTATCCTCTGAGTAAGAAACTTTTCACGTCGTCATTGTAAAACGGGATTTGTTTTTGTGTCAGCATTTTTTGGGTAATTCACCACAACCGTTTATATAGCGAAAAGAAAACCATGCACAAAGAAAAATGGTCCTTAAGTCAACTTCATAATTACTTCATTTTTGTTACAGCTAACCTTCGCATGAAGGTCGACATTAAAACGAAGTACATAAAAGATAACAAAGGTGTCAATCACTTTGCTGTGAAAAGCTATAAATACACCTTTGATTACGGTGACCGAGTCTCGTTCGAACTTGAGAATCTCTTCAAGGAAAGCAAAGAGCTTAGTAAGTATCACTTCTTGGTAAATACCTAGAACCAATAAGTTCTGCAGCATATTTTTGATAAACTTATCAATTACCGGAATAATATGCACAAAAAATATTGACAACGTGAAAATTTAATCACTGGATGACTATTGGCAATCTCTTGCATTTATTTCAGTAGTAGACTATATGATCCGTCATTAATTTGGATAAGTGGTAGTCGAGATGAAAAAAATCAGTCGTTTTAAATTTTCGTTGTACCTGACTTAATACAAGCGTATCGGAATTTCCATATGTTATGGTTAAGACAAATAAAGTAAAATCATCCTCCGATTTCCAATCTTTCCTGACTTGTACGTGGCAAGAAGTAGTGTCAGACTTTTACTGAATAAAACCACCCCGTTTCTACTCCTGCACTTCGAGCCGGACCAGGCAACCCGTTAAGTCATCCGCGGCGTTGTACACGAATAAAGTACTTAACAATATTCACCACACCTTTCCGTCTAATTAGTAAAACTGCGGGACGATAGGAAATTACTTTGTCCTCGATTGTACTAATCAATAAGCAGCAACAGCAATTATTTTACTTAATTGTCCCCAACACTGCATCCTCTAAGGAAATCCTCTACCGATCAAGATGTGCATATTATTATCCGTGAATGCATAGGTATCAAAACTATTGACCTACATTGCAATTGCAAATACTATCTGTCATAATGCCGGTGCCAGACATGTGCACACTGAGTTGTTCACATAATAATTTTGCAGTGCCCGAAACGGCTTATACTTAGAACATATTATTACAATCAAATTATATACCACCCTAGACACTATAGAACTGAACTATACTGAAGGCCCGACAATTCAATCCCCAATCCCCCCAATCCCCGAATCCCAACAATCCTCAAATTTCTAGTGCCCAACGCCGATAATGCACTTGTAACGCCTCTGGTGTTTCGGTTGTCCGTGGGCGTAGACGATGGCTTATCACCAGGTGATCCGTCTGCTGGTTTACCAGCTTATTTAATAAAATAATAACATTAAGTGTTCATATTGTGTGGGACGGATATTTGATGATATTTTGCCCGTGGCACACAATGTGAACAAACGAATGCGCACATGTCTGGCACTAGCATAATAACAATCTGGCCAGCCAAGGTTGGATAAAGATGTTAATGATTGATTTCCTTTGAATTACTGTAATAAAATATAATTTTATCTTGAACTTGTTTCACCTTATTTCATTATTGATAGAATCGTAACAAGGTAGTCTATTTATGTGTTGGAAATTATTGTAAAAACTGACAACATAATGTCATACTTCTAAAGGCTGTCTGGACAACATAGTGTTTACGTTAAATATGCACAACCTTCATACATAGTTTAAGTTCAATTAATAATAATAGAATTATAATAAAGCCCATATTTTATGTTCTCTCTGATCCAGCCCCTGATGTTGAGAAAAGAATTAACAAAATCTTTTTTTGTTACAGGCAGAACAGTACTTCAATTTCTAAACGAAAATTGGCGGTTAGTAGCAGAAGAATTTGGAAAACCGATAGTAGACTACGCCGTAGATCTAGCAATACGGACTATCGAAAAGTTCTTCATTGCAGTGCCTTATGAAGAACTCATTAATGTTCCCATTCCTAAATTTTAGTGTGAGCTAAGTATTATTACATTATAAGGTGAATAGGTTATTAATTAAAATTTTTGTAAGACAATATTTTGTTTTATTGATTCCTTTAACCCTTTGAGTACCGTCATTATAGACACAATTATAGAACAATAGGTGTGCGGACACCGGGGTCCTCGCGGTGTTTGACAGCCAAGGGCAAAGCCAAGTCCTGCAACACGTGTCGCCGGCAATGTCGTGTGAAGTAGCGCGACGTTGCCGAACTTTTAGTCGACGTGTCTGGCAATATCAACATCACTGTAGCATAAGTTGGGCGTTGTCACCGTATATGTCAGGCGACATGGGCTAGCTCGCTCGATGTGTAGAAATGTTTCATGTTTTCACTGAAGAGACGCTAGCTACACGATATGTTAAAGTCTGTTTTGAGTTCGATCCTAAATAAAAATAATAATCAGACTTATTTCTACATAACATAACATCACGCCTTTTTATCCCCGAAGGGGTAGGCAGAGGTGCACACTGCGGCACCTTATACTACTGTACAATGTAATACTCATTTTACACTATTTATGTTATGAGTCCCATGTAATAGGGGCCGAGCCTATTGCCATATACCGAGCACATTTCTAGACTCCGTGCTACTACTGAGATTTTTAAAAACCAAGTAATACTTTGCCCGGCCCGGGAATCGAACCCGAGACCCCTTGCCCGGCAGTCGCAATTGCGATCACTCGGCCAACGAGGCAGTCAACTTATTTCTTTTAAAATTTTAGCTACGGCAATAAATTTATAAGTGTGTTTGATGAAAATAGATAATGTTTTTTTCCACTATTGAGTATAATAAAAACCTGTCTTTATCGTAAAATACACCATAATACTCCAGTAATAAGAGATTTGTCACCAGCACCATTAATTCCCGGAATATCTCGTCATTTGTCTTAGTTGGACGTTAGACCGAGCACCGCCCTTACCGCGTCTTGATCATTTTCACTAGAACCTTTCCCATTATTTGTTCCGTTAGATTTTCTACATGACATTTATTTTTTTAAAGGAACTTAATGGCGTTGTACAATAGTGTCGATCTGTAAGAATGTTTTACGTGGATTGCAGATTTTTGTCTTATTTTTTTCACAAACATGGAAAACCACATATAGTCAGTCCTATCCCGAATTCGACATAAGCGCCATCTATGAAGTTCATAAATTATAATTTTATTAAAATTAATACTCAATACTAAAATCATTTTCGACATAACATATTTTTATAACATTTAAAAATGATATTTTATAGTTGGAAGAACAAGGCTAATTAAAATTATAATAAAATTATATTGCATAGATACAAAATAAGAAAAAATGCCTAGCTTCGTTTTTTGCGTAAAAATAAAACATAAGATGATTTTTAAAATTGGACGTTCGATTAACATAATATTTTTCAGATATCTTCGTCCATTCTAGTTTCTTCATAATAATGATAAATTATTGTTTATTTTACCGCTTTGGCATAAATATTTCGTAAAAGTAGCTTTCATTGAAAATTTAACCATACATGTTCCTTGTTTCCAAGGTTTGCGAAAGTCTAGATAATAATTATATCTATCTTTTATCACTCGATTGGCCGAAACGTAAGTATCCATTACTATTACTAGACTGCACGGTTGGTGCGGTGGCTGGGCAACCGGCTGCCGTGCAACGTGTCGCGGGTTCGATTCCCGCACGGAACAACACTTTGTGTGATCCACAAATTGTTGTTTCGGGTCTGGGTGTCATTGTGTATGTGAACTTGTATGTTTGTAAACGCACCCACGACACAGGAGACAATCCTAATGTGGGGCAACGTTTTATTAAAAAAAAAAAAAAAAAATTTGATCTTCAAGAAGACTTATAGATCATTTAATCTTGAACTCATTCCATCTATATATATCCAGGTCAAAAGAGTAACCTACGCCAATAACAAATCTGAATCGGCAAAGAAATCCTAAAGAAAAATATTGCTATGAAAAAATCACATAGTAAGAAGATTAATAGATTCAATATAAGTGATGACGTTTCACATCTATCGCCTAAGGGCATGATAATGAATAATAATGATCTTTTATTTATACTGTATATCGTAATTTGTTACGCAAAAATATTTTCGCATAAAATTATTGTGCTATGTCATTGCAATCAGCCATTTTCGTGTGGCTGGATCATCACTGATCCAGAATCATCTTATATTTTGTGATTGAATATTTAATTTGTTAAGCCTAAGGCATAACTTTTGTTCTCATGAAGATCAAAAAATATCAAACTACTCAAATAAAAATATCGAAAAAGAACAAATGGCCTATTAAAATAAAATGTAGTCAATGTAACGTAGAAATTAATTGAAAATTGTTTAAAACTTGCCTGTCAATTAATTGGGATCAGATAAACATTGAGACCCGATAAATACAAAGCAACTTGAATGTGAAAATTCTAAACACTAACTAAAATCCAACGAAGTTTATTGAAAAATAAAATACACGTGCAATTTTTGGCACAAATCCGAACCGTATCAATTTTCACATTTGTAAAATTCAAACACCGTTTGGAACAGATAACAACAATAAACTTTCAGATTTTTTTATTGAACTTTCAACTTTATCACAAACCTATAAGGGAAAAAATGTATTGTAGAAATTTCACAGATAAGGGTAGGTTGATGTGCTGCCATCTGTACTTAAAACCCTCGTAAAAACGTGTTTTATAACACAAGTTTGTTAATATTCCCCTGTCCGTATAACTCAAGGCAGTCAGCTAACAGATTTTTCTCGTGTTTCAAGCTTTATGAGCGCTGTAAAAGTATATCGCAGGTATGCTAATATTTTAATTAACTTTTGTACAAATTTAAAATATTGTCTGTACTTTAATTAAGTACGTGAATGCTTAAATAGGTCATATTCTAAAATTTATGGGATTTGCTTAATGTACTGTTCTTTCCTGCTTATTTCGTGTACCTAATAATAAACATTACGTTGTTATGTTTATGCATTTGTATATGCAATAACACTTTGAGATACTAAGAAAATGTAGTTTTTTATTGTTTTTACTGTGAAATTTGACATGAGTATGATAAGTCATCGTTGTTTTTCTATACATGATGATAATAGTATTTGTAAGTTCTTTTTTATACAAACATATTACTATTACAAAACCTTGAAGGAATAACATGATATACCTACCACAGATGTAAACCAATAGGGCTGTTGCCGGGGCCCCGAGTCGAAGAACAAGAGTTGTGGAACGGAGTGGTTAACAGTCAGGAAGAGTTCTGACGCTCTCGCCTCATCCAAAGCAGAAGAAGTCATTGGATGATTTCCCCCATCCCTTTAAAAAAGTCTTATTAATAGAAATATTATTGCAGTCAACATTTAATATAAGTCATTCCAAACACACCCATTAATCATTTAAAGATAATAAACGTCATTATCTAAAGATCGTCCAATTGATAAACACCGTCCCAATCCCAATCCATTACTGTCTTCCAAACCTCCACTCTACCTTGTTATTCCATAGTCGCACCTGAACTTGCGAAGAAAAATAACTAGTCCAAAGAACTAACACCACATCTGAAACATAGTTGCAACCTCACAACTCTTAATTAAATGCCCGAACAACCCACAAGAGATAACCAAGTGCAGTGAATTCTATTCAGAGTAACAATGCTACGGGACAGCATGGAACAAGTTGCAACTTGTCACTAAGTTAACAACTTGTTGTGGACCACAAGTGAAGTGAAGTGTCCAGAGTGTCCTCTGTCCAGAGTCCCGACTGAGCGAACATCATTTTATTGTATCACAACTTCGGTCTTATTGTTTTCTTAGGGGATTTGATTACAGTTCTATTGAGGGACGGACTTTGTTGGAAAAAATTGACTATTCTATCTATTTTTGTACTGTAGCCGTTTTGCTGTTTGTACACTCAAGAAGTATCGAGTATTAGATTATTTTTTATGACATACATAATTATATAGTTATAGAAACTCTCCTTGATCACACCGAAAAATCAATAATATGTCCAGTGTAAGAATTTTACAATGACTTCAGTAATTAAAATTACTGAACTGTAAATAACTATTTTTAATCAAGGTTATAATTTTATTCATATTTTTTATTATAATTTTAATCATTATTCTTTTTCAGAAAATCCCATTTGAAACAAAAAAATCCATTAGCTACCTTGTTTGTCTATGAAATAAAAACGTGCACAATTTGACCTCGTGGGTCGTGAAATATAGTCATAATATTATATAGCTGTCATTAGTAAAAATTTACACGGGCAAAATTAAATCATTACCACTTTTTGCTAAGATTATGAATCTCGTGTGAAGACAATTTAATTTATAAAACTCTTTACTGTAACTGAAGAATTTTGGAAATTTTTAAGTGTGGGAGAGCCATGTTTTTCGGCACGAATGGGCCGCCTCGACCGGAGTGATACCACGGCCTCACAGAAAACCGACGTGAAGCAACGCTTGCGTTGTGTTTCGTCGTGTCAGTGAGGTTACCGGAGGCCCAATTACCTTCCCCTTCCCCAATCTCCCCAATCCCTGAATCCCCAACGATCCTCAAACTCCTAATCCCTAAAAAGCCGGTGACGCACTTGTACCAGCGTTTACCAGCTTATGCCATAAAAATCAAATCTCTAAGTACACTTGCTTGAGCACCGAATAAATCGTTTATACGATGCCCAGATAAGTCTTAAAGGCAAGTCTATGTATGTAAATGTCCAAATCAAAATTTTACATCAAAAGTCCTTTTAACCAAGCGTCACACCACAATTGTCCAACATTCAGATTAGGCAAATACTCTCTGTTCAAACAGACGCAAATTGGCGCTTGCATTGAAATCCAATCATGAACGGTAATTACCGTTGATTTGATATCAAATTAATGCTAACAGAATATTGGAATGGCCAATGTTACAGCGAACATCGGCTTATCTGAATGAAATTGGATAAAAAAGGAATTTTGACTGAAGTTAATATAGTCCAGAATGATTA